CATATGTGTCTGATTTTTTTAAATGCGCATTCTATTTGCATTTTTTTAAACGACTGTCGTCGATTAACACTTTGTATAACCGGCAAATCAGAATTTAATTATTTGTATTGCGTTAATAAGAATATAAAATGCATTTAATTGCACAATTAATTCAATCGTAAAAAACGCTGTTGCTAAATTTATAATTAAACTTATGTAATGGATGTGAAAAATATATACATTTGTTATGGACACTTGATGACATTCCTTACATTTTTCAATCTAGTGAAAAATATTAAAATTGTATCTTAATTTTATTAATAATTTAAAATTTTTGAAACATTTATATTTTGCAAGGCGATGTATAAAAATCTGAGAAAATTTTTGGAAGTACTTTGCAATAATTTGAAACTCATTTCTATTTGTTGTAAGATCGAGGACTTTAATTATTATTGATCAAGCTAAATTTAATTTAAACTTACATAAAACTTTTATAAATATTTAAAATATAAAAAAACTCCATATCTCCTTCATATAAAGATTCAGTTAGATAAATCATGATCAATATATTCAAATTTTTGCAAAGCAAGTGCATTATTTACATAACTGGATATTTTTATTTTCAAGTAGAACTGAACATGTTGAAAATAAATATCAAATGCAGTTTCATAACGCAGAAATTGAAAATATAAAAATAAATCATTGTGATTTCAATGTCACCAATGAAAAATTATCGAGATTACAACTGATATACAAATAATTAAATTTATAAAAATGTATATCATTTTTTTCATAGAAATGAGGTATCAGAGTGAAATACTATTGAACATTTGAAAATTACTGCTACTACTATTTGCTAATTACTGAAATACAAGATTTTTTTTTTTAATTTTATTTCCAATAGCAATCAAAATACATGACAATTCTATGAGCTAGATAAAATATTTAAATAATTATAATACGCCTCCAAAATGATACAAACAAAAAATGTCACAAGTCAAAAAAATATATTTACACAGAAGCACTATTAATAAAAATTTTGGTCTGTATATTTGATTTTTTGGATACAAAATCACATGTTAATTGCCTATTATGTATTTAAGAAAATAAATTTTTTTTATAAATTTAATATTTTTATTAGATTTTAAAGTGGAGGTCCAAATGAGAGGTAATTGAGTTCAATTAAATTTGTTTTATTTGAATTTATTAATTTTTTGCCATAAAATTCAGAACTTTTTTGAGTAAATCTAGCAAATATAATAAATGCACAATAATTAGGAGAAGCTAGTTACTCTTACTTCTAGGTTAGTTTTACTTTAAATTAAAAAATAGAATTGAGTGAGATAAAAAAAATTCTATATAAAAAACAATTTATATTATATGAATTGATATGAAATTAAATTTCTACAAGAGTTCTATTTGATGCAATTTAAATTTTATTCAGAATTAATATTATATAGAAATTATTTGTAATATAATTGATTAAATGTACTCGTAAATAATTGTTATGGTATGTATAATTTAATAAATACATGCATTCTTTAGAAGTAATATATTGAATATAATAGTGTAAAATTTCATTATTAAACTTCATTAATAATAAATGAATTACGTAAAATGAACTATAAAATATTCTAGACTGGCGTTGGACTAATTGAAAATATTTATTATATAACAGTAATAAAATAATAAGATAAAAATATCAAAATGATTGTGTTTTTATGTAATATATTTGAACAATAAAATATTTTAAAATATTAATTTATTATGTATAAATAGATATTAAGACGTATGAAATTAGTATTATATCAATTAACAATATAAACATAAATAACGTAAAATAAACGTATGGATGTTTGATTTAGACTACAAGTATAGAAAAATTAAACGATATAATTAATTATATAAACAGTACCTAAATTTCCATTTTTAGTTATAATGATAACCCATGAATAAGAAACAATACAAATATTTAAATATGTACTGATAAAACGTAGAACAAAATGATTCGGAGTTCTTAGAAATGGAATGTATGACAAATTTTTAATATAAAACAGTATAAATCAAGACATCAACAGCCGATTTTGGGGTATTCCTTCTAATACAAATGTTTATTTTTTTTTAATTCCAAAAAAAACTAAATGCCACGTGTATTTTAAAACGATATATTTACATCGCATTGAATTCATATCAAGACGTATCTAGAAATAATCATAAAAACTGGTTTGGAGTAATTAATTATGTTACTAATTGATACATGAGTACAAATCTTGTAAATATCTGCAAAAAATAAATATTTCTTTAAACAAGGAAAAATAAAAAAAATCACTAAATACTTTCTTTCAATCTAAATTAAAATTGTAGCACTTATTTTACATGCGCATTTAGTCACAGTATTTTTTTTAATTTTTAATTTTTTTATTTAACGACAGATTTAAAATTTATTTGGCAGCTTTAAACTAAATTTTATAGATTATATTTTGGTAATTAAAGTTACAAAAATTTGAATACAAAAGTATGAAAGTAAATAAATTGATGCTATCATTATAATTTCTAAGTATTTTGTATCAATAATACGTTGAAGGTTTTTCCGAAACGCATTCATGTACGTATAAATATTTTATTTAAAAATAATGAACTAGTTATTATTGTCTTTGAATGAATAATAATGAAGACAATATTTGTATAAATGATTAATACCGTTGAAATAATTAAATTTGAAGTTATATAAGATAAATGGAAGGAAATTACATATATAAAATACCATCGACAATTTTCGGTCATAATTTGCCTCAAAATTATTTTTAGAAATTTTTAGAATTTTATTATAATCAATATAATATCAATTTTTTATTTTGATTGCAGAAGTCAATTTAGAAGTGATTAAACATTTTTTGTTGGAATTATAAAATTTCAAAAATAAATCATAAAATTTTGAACTCATAGTTTATAAGTAGTTCTGTAAGATCAATGTAATCTAAATAAGATTCCTATAATTAAATTTTTGTTTGAAATCGTATATACATATACATGTATATATTATGTCAATAACTTTACTGATATTCAATTTATATCAATATTTCACTTCTGTATACCCAAAATACATAATTCTTTTTATACAATTGTTCATATATAACGGTACTCAGACCTCAGGTTAAAGAATATTAGCATTTTATCATATTATGTAATCGAATAAATTAAATGCTTTTGTATAAATTGAGTTATGAAATATCATACAATACATTTTAGTTCACTTTTTGTAATTACATATTATAATAATTATTAATTGTAGTAGTCTAATCTTTTAAAGAAACTAATTATTCATTATCAAAGAAATTTCATTCAAACTTGTTTTTCTATACTTGGTAATAATTTTGCGTTTTAAATTCATTAATATAGACTAATTCATAAACTCTAGTACTTTTAATGTTTTAATTATTTGTAAAAATTGTCAAAAATATATTACATATATTACTGTTAAAATGTTATTAATTAGAAGTTAAGTTATATATCCCAAGTTAAAATTTTAATGTTATGTTTTATTTTATATGTTATAGGTGTATGTTGAATTTACCAAAATCAATAATTAATTAATAATTATAACCAGATAAATTAGAATTTTGAATTTCAATTAATGAGCTACGATTTTATATTTTTACAAAAAAAATTTAAAAACACAAATATGATTCAGCATCATCTTGCTATGAAAAATATATAATACATTTTCAACTCATTCATTAATATCATCCTTTGAAGAAACTAATTATTTAACAGCAAAGAAAAGCATGTATAAAAAAAAAATTCTTTAGGCTTATATTCGTTATATAAAAATCATGTTTAATCATTATAATAGCTATAAATAATAGCACTCATAAATTTATACTATAATTAAAATTTTGGTGTAAAATTTATTATAGTTCTATATGAATTCAATGCAATACTATGAAAAGATATTAATTATTGGATCTTTGGAAACAAATACTATTTTAGGAGTTGTAGATTGTAGATTAAATTTTAAATTATTATTCAGTGAAAATAATTTAATGTCTGCTAATTGGCGGCTAAATTATTTTTAACTATTCTGCTTAATGTTGTACCATTTTCACATGGTTTGTGAGAATATTCGTTTAATTATAAAACGTTTTATAAAAAAGTGAGATTTGGTACTGGATATTTTAATATATAATTTCATACTTAACATATGGTTTATTATATAATAGTTCTCAACAAAAAATAATAGAAAATAAATTAAACACATAAAAATATGAATCTGAAGTATAGCAGCATAATTAATTATTCGAATAAATTGATTATATTTTTCGAAAGCAACATAATTTATAGTTCGAATAAATTGATTATTTTTTTCCAAAGAAGAAGAAATGTGTGCACAATTTTAACCCAACACAATATAAAAAATAAAACTTACTTAGAAGAAAAATTTATACAAAAATACATATTTGTACCTCACGAAAATTGCTAGAACTTCTCTTTGTACAAATAAAATTAATAATTATATCCAATAATATGTTCATATAACAAATCAATAATTATAAAAAAATTGCAATTTTTTTGTGATTTTTATTTTTAACACGTTATTAAACAATTTAGGTAAAATTGTATCTAAAAATCCTGATGTATCAAAGAAAAAAATATGTGTGCTATAATTTCTGGAAAACACTATTTTTATAACACACATTCATGACTAACATGGCCCTAGATTAAAACTTTTTTTGATATATGTCTGACAAGGCTCATTTAGATCTTTTTAGCGTCAGACACATATGACTGACATAGCCATATCGTGTTAATTATACAAAAATATTAATCTAAATAAATCACAGCAAGTTTAGAATTCTAATTAATGAAGCAAAATAAAAGTGTGCACAATTTTTAACTCAAGACAGTATATAAAATAAAACTATTTCCAAATTGGTGAGCAAAAAAATGTAAAAGCTAGCTACTAGGGTTCAGCATCAGCTTGCATTAAAAAAATTATAATAAATCTTTATAAATTTCCTTACCTTTTTATATAAACGCCACTTTAGCCAGTGCTAAATTGCAATCACTTTTTATTACTACGTTTAAATTTAAAACAAATCAATTACAGTCAATACCGCTCAACTATTAAGTCACTAAAAACCACGTGGGAACTCGAATCACTTGTACAGAATCATTATTATCGAAATAAAATAAATGTAAAACTCACTTTGAATTAAAATATTATACCAAATACCAATTTACGAGGTATTGTAGATTCTGGTTTGTGGGCGATGTTACCGCATCCACCGACCGGCACAGACTGAAAATTTTAGGTTGTGGTCATAATAGACCAGCGACTTGTGTTCACATGAAATCAATTGTTGAAGGACACAGATTGTGGTGTTGTTATAATTCTTTTCGAACAAGACTAGAACAGAGTTTAATTTATGGTATATGCATTATTATTACTATGTTGTGATAATAAATACTGGATACGAGTGAGTTTTCGACGCGGCCGATGCCTCTTTATATATTTCGCGTGTGTGCGAAGACGCGCAGTTGTAGTAAAACGATGAACCTGGACACATAGGGTGCTGTTAAGGTCAAAGGGGATGATGGATTTTGCGGAATTAAAAAATATTTTAAATAAAATTTATTGTATGGCATCGTGCCTTAAGGGAAATTGCTGAAATTTCCTGTACCAAAAATTATTTTTTTTAAAAAAAAAGATTATTTTTTTTTTAAACTTTCAAATAATTAGATTTTTGAGAAATTTTGGCTTTCATTTCATTTTCAAAAATGAATTTTTGAACGTTTGGCTAAAAATGTTGATTATTTTATTTTGATAATTTTTGAAAATTTTGAACATTTTTTCTAATCAGTCGCACTGCTTTAGCTGCATAGAGTCGAAATATCGAAGCGCGTAAGCGCTGCATCGTCGTCTAACGGACAAACGATGTTACGGAACCCATAGAAATGTAAGCAAAATCCGTTCACACACATATATATACACACATACACACACACATACACACACATACACACACACACATTTTCTAAGGTATGCCAAAATATTCAGAAATCCTGAAACGTAAAGATATATAAAAATTTTCATTTTCGTTGTTTTTGCGATTACTATAATTTACTCCACGGAAAGTTTATTACCTTATTTTACACCTGACTCGCCATGATAATATCCTTAAAATTTTCAGATGGACCATGATAACTTTGGTAGTTTATTTAGGTAACTAGTGATGCATGGCATCGTGCCTTAAGGCAAATTGCTGGAACTTCTTGTTCTATAATTAAATATTCGAGCAATGAAAATTAATAGTCAATAAATATTGATTAATGTATAATTACAATTGGTTTCAAATATTTTCTATGAGATTATTATAATTACTATATATTTATTCGTTTATATAAAATGCACTAACGATCTTATTACTCAAAACACTTAAAAATGTTTACATTAAGAAGAGATGCCAAATAAATCCATCTGAGGATATTTTTCTTATGTGTAGAATAGAGCATATGAAATATATACATTTTTAAAATGAATGGTAAATTTAAAATTTATATTAACAGTATAAATCTTTGTATATTTTTGAAAATTTTGAATAATTTTGTTTTTCTGAAAATTTTTGATAAAAACTAGAAAAATTATAAATTTCTCAGTTACAAATTTTTTTTTGATGTAGTTGATTTTACATAGACAGGCCGATAAAGTTCAAGAGATTTGCATTATTTCCATTGGTAGTAAAAAATATAGGATTTCATAGTTTGACAAAATCTTTTGTACTCAATTTATACCAGATGCTATTTTAATATGGTTTTTGTGATTTTTTTCATAATTTATTTAATTTGTATTATCAATAGTATTTTGAATTATTATTTAATAATGAATTGTATTATTTTCATAAGATACATATAGAAAATCCCAATTAATCACATTTTCCTTTATGTAATATGTTGTTGAATAAATAAATCTTTTCAAACAAACTAGATGCATTTTGTTTGCAAATACTAAAATATTTTACATATCTGTTCTTATAATAAATATCAATAATTAGTATATTTCTAAATCAATACAAAACCGATTTTATGTGTTTCATTTCAGAAAATCCTGACTGCATAAGATTCTTATTGGTCAAAAGAGATTCCAATTGGATTTTGCTGCCAGGATTTTTATTAATTTACTTTATTTTATATTTAGTATTTTTTATTATATATATATAACTATGTATTATGTAATAATAAATATATTTGAATGATTTGTCGTCAATTGAATAACTTATTTTTTTTGCACAAGTCTATCCTACTAAATATTTAAACTCGTATTTATTACTAACGATAGATGTAGCTATATAATATATATGCCCTGACTATAAATACTTATACTGTGTCGCTTTTTATAAAAAAAATATACAACCGACTACATAAGATTCTTATTGGTCAAAAAAGATTCCAATTGGATTTTTCTGCCAAAATTTGTTTACATCAGTTCATTTCATATTTTTCATATTTATTACTATGTATTATTATATGTATTATATAATAATAAATATATTTAACTCTCCGTCAATCATATATTTTTTCGTCCTGGTTTTTTCATTGATTTTAGGAAAAGTCCAGAAATTTCAAGTCGATAGGATTACTAAAAGTATTTTTTTTTAAATTGAAGTTGAAAAAAGTCTGGTCAGACCACTCTGACCGATGGAGGGTTAAAGGAATTTTTGTTAGGTGGATCAACTTTTTTTGGCACAATGCTATCTACTTCATATTCAACCTAGTATATAGCAATATGTGTGTGATCATAAATACTAATACTGTGTCGATTTTTATTCAAAAAATCTACATTTGGTATGTTTTTCCATGTGAGCGGAGCCTTTTTTCGTGAATTTCGCGTGTGTACCAAGAAAGACGCGCAATAGTATAGTAAGCGTCGCTCGTCCGAACACATGGGGTGCCACTCGAGTGGAAGGGATGTTCAATCTCTCGTCTGGGGATAAAATCAATAGCATTTTCACGAGGGATGCTGCGGACATGGGAAAATATGGAATGGAAATTCGATTTAGAATTATATAATATGCATATATACATATAACTAGTGGTGAATGGCATCGTGCCCTGAGACAAAATGCTCTAACTTTTCGTACCGCAATCCTTTGAAAATTAAATTTAAAAGTCTTATAATTTTTGAAAACTTTGAAAAATATATTTTTGAGAATTTTAAAATATTTGAAAAATTTGGCCTTTCAAGAAAATGATTTTTTTATATTTTTAAATTAGTTTTCAAAAAATTGAATTTTTTCAAAACATTTGCGCTGTGTAGCAGTTTTATAGACGAAATATCGAAGCGAGTCAGCGCGGTCAAACTTTATAAATCTTTGTATGTAAAAATTTGTACGTATTATTAAAATATTTATTATATATCTGATAATTTGATATGCATATGTCTAATGATCATTTTTGGCTACCAAACGGCATTTAATTCACTTTGTCCATTGGATCTCTTAAACTGCTAGACTTGCCTTCCCAAAAAGTTCTTCATTTTATCAATGTAAGAAAAATGTTTTTTTTGAATCATTCAAATCGGGCGCTTCGTTCTTTCGAACACTGACCTATCATTTTTGCATATATAAGGTTGTCAAATATCTCCCTTCCGCCTTTTTGTATTATAAACCAAGAGCAAAAAAGCGGAAGGGAGATATTTGACAACCTAATAATAGTTTATCGTATAGTTTAACATTTGGATATGCTTTTGCCAAAATCTAATCAGCAAGTCTCCCCATCAATAAGAATGTTTTTTTAATTATTCAAATCGGTTAATCCGTGTTCTCGAAATCGTCAATGACAATTAGTATCCGCACATATGTACAAACACATAATTTGTTTTTCTAAGGAATGCCTAAATGTTCCGAAGGCTATAAAAGTAAAAGATATAAATAAATGTTCATTTTCGATTTTTTTGCGATTAGTCTAACTTACTCTTCTTACTTTAGAAACGTTATACAAAATCTGAAAAATATTTATTCTTGTATCTAAAACTATTTTGGTCAATTTTTAAGTAAAATATTTTATTTTGTTGCCAAAAATATAAATTTAATGTAAAAATGAAAAATTTATCTAAAAATTAATATTTTGTGCAGAACATTGATCAACAATAACAATGTTAAATCATTGTTTATTATCGTTAAATTATTCAATTGAATATCGCACTTTTTTGCTCAAAAGTGTAAATTTGTGAACTAAAATTATCTGAAAATTAAAAATTGATGCAAAACATTCAATAAATTTGTAACAATATATATATATATATATATATATATATATATATATTATATATATACTTAAATTTATATTTATATTTATATATATAATATATAATACACCTATAAGTTATTATGTGAATAATATAACATATAAATTTTACCTAAAAACTCGATATTATTTTTACGAAACAAACCTTGACGTCCAAACCAAAAACATTTCTAATCCTAAATATATTGCCTGAACTACAATTTCTATATAATTTTAATCTAAAATTAATTAATTAATATCGAACTTCAAAATAATGTCTTGTCGCATACCATCCAGAAGGTAAAAGATGAATAACCTTGGTTCATTGTACATTTAGGGTATGTCGTAACATACTTTTGCGTCTAATTTAATAAGGGGTTAAATTATCGATAAAATATTTAGTAAATATATTAATAAAATAATTTTAAGGTGATTTTTTCATATTTTATTTAAGTATATTCAGAAAATACTATGACTTTTATAGTAAGAATTGGAGCAACAAGTGGATCAATAAAATGCGGAGTAAGCCGACGAAAGATGTCTACGCAGATCCTTAATGGACCATATATATATATATATTGAAAAAACATTTTGGGAATGTCTTTATTACAACAGCATATGTTTCGAGTCTTGGTTTTACCCATCTTCAGTGCTACATTAAAAAAATTCAAAATTATAAATAAGAACTATGTTTCACACAACGTACTAAATCGTTTTATTTGTAATCAAAAAACATATGTTTCTCAAATTAACTCAGAGAGTGGACCTTAGACATTTTTGATCCGCTGTGAAAATATACTTGTAAAAAAACTATGAACAGTTTCTTTGAAAATTCAAAAGCTAAAAGGGCACAAAAGAAAGCAGTCCGTCTCTGATAATAGTTTATTTCGTAAATCAGTAATATTTTTTAAATGTCTTAATTATATGTAAAATATACCTTATTTTCTATGACCACATTTCTCACTACAAAACGAAATAATTTTATTTTCATGTATTTGTATGGAAAATCTCGGTTTGCATAGGGGTCATTTTTTAAATATTAAATTTAGTAACATTTTCTATTTTTTATTATATGAATTTTTTATATCGATTTGGTGTTTCACTTTTTATCAAAACAACATGAAATGTTTCAACATTTTGCTCACAGAAAAATCCTTAAACAAAGTATTATAATAGTTTTATGCTATATTAAAAAAAATTTTTGGAATAGTGAAGACACATAAATGTTTCAAAACATTACGATAGTTTAGAAAAATATAGTAAAAAAAATATGAAATTAATAAAAATTGATAAAAAAAAATTCTAGAAGTTTTAGCTCTTTATATTAACTTTTAGATAGAGCGCAATTCAATCAAAGATTCGTTTTCTCAAATGTCGAAGCATTTGAGCTCTTGGAAGCAATGAAATTAGAAAATGTCCATATTAAGGACCACCCTAATGTACATATATATATATATATATATATATATATATATATATATATATAAGAAAAGCAGATTGCACAAAAGCGATGAAGCCAGAAATATTCTGTGTAATTCCATAATCAATACTAGGAATAGTATTGTGAGTACTATAATTTCACAAAGGCTTCAGTTCATAGACACGATAAAAATTTATATATAAATATAAATAAATATATATATATATATATATATATATATATATATAATTAAATAAATAATTCCAAACCCTGACCTAAGAATGCATTTGAAATTTCTCAACAATTTCGCCTTCAAGCTATACAAGCATATTCACATTCATGCCAAAGTATCATTTTATTTAGAAGCTATACCTAATCTTATATATATGTAATTACATTTGGAATATTATATATTATATATGCAGTAAAACCTCGGTAAAACGATTTTCCAAAGGCCCAACCAAAAATGCATCTTCAGAGAAAAGTGTATTATGTGAGAAGAAGGAAATATGTTTCAATGTGCAGGAAACGGCGTAAAGTTGCCTATTATGCGGAAAATCATAAGCGACTTAACAAGGTTTTTAATCTAAATTTTAACTGAATATAAGTAACTATTTCTACATTCCTCAAAATCTTGCATTAGCAAAGACAAGGTGACAGATGACAGTTGTGAATTATATGGTGCAATAAAAAAAAAAAAAAAAGAAAAGACTGGGCTTCTTTGTGATCAGCAATAATTTTGTTAATTCACTAGTTAGTTTGAAGAAAAATAAATAATATTGTAATCTATTCATTAATCTATGCGGAAATACTGAAATACTATCATTAAATATGATGCATTATATAAAAACTAATCATATAAGAAAAGGGCAAGTGTCACAACCGTTCACACCTCCAGGATATATGCAAATGTTTTATAACAACTCTTTAAAAAAAATGATCAAAAAACTTACATTATATCATGTTAATGTAGAGCGCTGATACAATGAAATATTGGAAACTTGTTCGTACAAACATACTTCGTCTTTCTCCCTTTGGACCCTATCTCAAAATCGGTATAGTTTAGGTGATATGATGAGTGTTACTACCTAGGGCCTAGTTTCCCCAACTTGAGATATGCGTTATATTTAATCTTTTACTATTATTAACTTCCCGTACGGTAGTTTAGTTATAGTAATGGACCAAAAATCGAAAATGAAAATTTTTACATTCTCCATGTTTTAAAGGTTTCTGAACATTTTGGAATACCTCAGAAAAAATAGATGTGTGTGTGTGTGTTTGTATGTCCGCGTTGTTTCGTCTACGTTTTCGGGCGCATTATATAGGAAGCATACGATTCCTATTGTTAGAGAGATGTGTTGATTAGTTTTTGGCAAAGGCAGGTCCAGCCGTTTCGGAGATACAGAGCTAAATGTGTAAAAAATGGCAGTTTTTGCCAGTTTTAAAAAATGGCTTAGTCCGATTTGTATGATTCGAAAAACTTTCTGCTTGTTTTATCAAAATAATTGGTCCTGGAAAAAAAAATTGTTTCAAATTTTTTTTTTCAAAAAAAGTTTTTTCTTGTATATCGAAAATACATGAGATTTTAGTTTTGATTCTGGCTAAAGTTCTAGGCTCACTTATATACTTTAAATAAATGATTTTACCTTTGCAGTTCAGTCTATATACTTTAGGTTGTTTAGCATTTCCATGCAAAATATGTAAAATGAAACATAATACATTGGTTTATTTTGATGATATTGATACAAATCCTAGCACATCGGGTGCAAATTTAACGGTTGCTAATTATTCGACAAAAATATTAATACTAAATTACAGTCACAAGCAATTTTAGCAGCAGCTGTTATAAAAGTACAAAATTCGAGCGAAAAGTTCATAGAATGTCGGTGTCTTTTAGATTGCGGGGCCCAAAGTAATTTTATTTATGGCAGATACCTACAAAATGCTAGGCATAAAATTAGACAAAACAAATTATACAGTTATGGGCGTCGGGCAGATAGCACCCAATATTCAGTTTTCAACAAAAATAAATTTTAAATCTACAAATACCACATTTAAATCAAATATATAACTATTATAAATATTGGTATTTAAAATAATCTATTTGAAAACATTTAATATTCCTCGAACATTTCGTTACGATCTGGGAAGTTCCAGCAATTTGCCTTAAGGGACGATGCCATACACCACTAGTTTATATTAAGATTTGTCAAATAATAATAACACATATTATAACATTGCAGTGTATAAAATGTAAAATGTATTTAGATACAATTGCATATAATATTTAGATACAGTATTTAAAAATATCATATTTTATCGTTTAACATATTTTATAGTTACATTTAAAATAACATGTATATTTAACATATTTTATAAACAGATACTGTTGTGTTTCTTATAATAGTATAGAATTAACTAAATTTCAATTTCGTCTGACAAAGGCTGTTGACTTATAGGCATATTAACAGCTTGTCTGCGTTTTCTAAAATGCTTATTATAAACTAAATAAAATTGTACACATATCACACAGCAAATTAATATTAATACAAATATAAACAAACTATTCAATTTGTTTATACCAGATTCTATATTACTTAGTTTTTTATCATCTTTTTTGCTAGATTCATCCATAATTAAACGTTCTTGATACAATTTTTCAAACTGTTTCGAACGTTCTACTGCAGGTTCAAAAATTGTAATAGTTGGTTGAAAAAAGTCACCTAAAGTTGTCAAAGAACGAGTTGAGGAAGTTGATGGTGAATTATCTGGGCCACTTCTTGAAACTATAGTTGGTTCGATCAATTTTGAAGTCGTTGATGCAAAAGTTGGAAAGTAATTGCTTTCTGTAGTTGATATGATGGTTTCTTTCGCAGTTGGAACAATAGTGACACTCCTGGTAGTTGTTGGCACAGAGGTAAATTGTTTGGTTGTTGTCAAAATAGCAGTTTCACTTGTTTTTACTACATTATCCATAACTTGGGTGCTGGCACCAAATATTACGTTAGTTTTGTTTCCAGGCCAACAACGTATCCCATCCAAATTTGGAACGAGACCATCCAATGGTTCATGATGAACATGGCTAATTTTATGACTAAGCATGGACTGCAAAATGGACATCAATGTTGAACAATGCCAGTGATTTTTGTTTAGACCCAAACTTGTTAAATTAGGTAATACTTTAAATAGATCATCGTAAGGTAAGGCTGTCAACATATTACCTTCGAGATATAGAGTTGTTAACTTTTCTCAAATTAAATAACACATGATGATCAATTGTCGAGAGTGCATTAAATGATAAGTTCAAACTTGTCAGAGATCCTAAACCAAAAAACACCCCAGTATCTAAAAATGCTATTTTATTGTTGTCCAGTCTTAACGAATTTAAAAATTTGAAGTCTTTAAATGTTCCTAAAGGTATTTTTGAAATTTTGTTATACTGCAGTTCGACAATTTGCACCATCTCCATGCCTGTCCACATTGGCATTTGTTCCAAATTATTGTGAGATGCCTTGAAAACTTTTCCAGTATTACACAAGGAAATATTTGTTAAAAGCGTCAAATTTAAACCAGACACATACAGATCTGAGCAGAATAAACCGCCTGTAATTCTATCAATAGGATTATTTTTGAAAATTAGTTGGTTAATTTCAGTATTTCCTAAAAATGTGCCTAAGTCAGTTATATGATTATTTTCTAAGTTTAAAAGTGATATAATTTTATACCAATGCAACCCTGATGCGTTGGATATTATGGAAATGCTGTTATGGGCCAAATCAATTGAATCAATTGTATTTTTTTTAGGAAAAATATTTTTTCCAATTTCAGTTAAATTATTATTAGATAACATAATATGATTTAAATTCACATTTTTAACAAATGAAGGCAGTGTGATTAAACGATTAAAAGATATGTCAAAATACCTTAATTGTTCAAATAACTCTAAACAATTCATTTCTATGAATTCGATACGATTAAACCTCAGATCTAAGGCTTTCAAATGAATTCCTATACCTGTAAAATTTTGTTTCTCCAATGAACCAGCAAGCAAATTGTTAGAAATTGTTAGATATTGCAATTGGTCCAAACCGTTTAAAACACCAGGAACTATGCTTTCTAGTTGGTTCTCTTCTAAATTTAAAGTTTCTAACGCTTTCAAACCGGAGAAGGCGTTTCTTGATATTGTTTTTAAGTGGACATCCTTTAAACTTAAAATTTGAAGATCATAGTTCTCAGTTCGATCAAAAACACCATTAGTTATTTCTGTTAAATTGCTCTCGACGAATTCCAGATTTTCGATGTAGTTTCCGTACTATTCAGAAGTAAGCTTTCAGAATTACGAATAAGATTTATTTTATTCACAAATTTACATGTTTTGATATTGCCACTGCAGCTCATCCCGCCTTTATCCGTCTGTTCTCTATTAAAATTATCGAAAAGAAATGGCCAGACAAAAATATAATCAACATAATGAAGTAGTATTAAAATTCCCAGCAGACTCCTAAAATTTATAAATATTTGCTCTTATTAAAACAAACCTGAATAATATACACGCATAAATTATATATATATATATATATATATATATATATATATATATATATATAATATATATATATATGATGGGTGTGAGTGCGTGTAAAAAAATAAAATTGTATCAATTATAAATTGTATCTTTCCCTAAAATTGCATACGTTAAGTTAAGATTCTCAATTTTCTATCTTTAAGGCAATGCCAAGATACGAGTATATTACCAAAAAGTAAGAATACAGGAATTAAAAGTAAGGCTAGTAGCATACATTTTTATTAAGTAAATGGAAATAATAATAGAAATGAGATTTAGCTATTTAGATATAATTTTAACTCTTAGTTCCAAAAATAGAATTTCCGCTATCATTAAAATCTATATGATATCAAAGTGATTTGAAATTGATATTCTTCAAACAAACTTATATGAAATTGTATTAATTATAACGCACCGACATATGCTTTTATGTCTTTTAGAATAAATTTTTAAAACTAAACAAATGTTCGTAAGCCTCTAAGATTTTAAGATCAATCGCCAAAATTTCAAACAACATTTCAATAATTAATGAAAAAATAGCACATATGATTATTACCAAAAAAACGGGCGATTCTTGTCATTTATCTATCGATTTTTGAATTTACAAATTTGGAGCAAGATTTTTTGCAAAAATATTAATGAAAATTTTGCATTTTTCTTTTAATTGTAAGAAAATTTCCCAAGCGATCGTCTTGAATAACAAATGAAGGCAGCAAATGTTTTATTTTTCAAATTGATGCAATCGGTTTTGAGAGACGTCAACTTTTCTTAAACTTTGGCGACCCTTCTTTGGGGAATTAACAATCACTAGTAATTTGATTATGATTGTACGAAACAACGAATTTATAAATAAAGTAGTATCTTTAAGTTAATATAATATTTTATATAAAGAACTTTAACTTACTTGTGCATTTTTTAATGAATTTTATTTATGTGTCACAACACTGACCGTTGAATATAAACTGAAATATGAAGACTTATCTATTTCGACTGACAATACTTTTCTGATTACATTTACTTAGCATATCTGCATATACATACATACATGACACACATACACTGACACAAACTCAAACATAGACACACACCATTATATATATATAATATTTATATAATATATATATATATATATATATATATATAATATATAAATATATATATATATATATATATATATATATATATATATATATATATATATATATATATATATATATATATATATATAACTAAGTCTAGTAATTGGAAAAACATCAATAAAAAACATGAATTCGTTTCAAAAAAATATTTTACATTCATACGTTTTGGTTATAATCCTAGCCTTCATTTAGTGAAAACTAGAAATTGAAAACCAAAATTAAAAACTAGAACAATTGTATTGGAATTTTTTTAAAGAGTAACAGGTACTTGCAATTAGGTAATCTTAGTGGTAAAATAGAAAATTCAATAATCCATGGTATCAGGATATGGTAATGCACTACACTATGTAATATAAACATTAAATTTGTAATATTTCACATAACACTAATTTTGAAAAATTACATGTAGATAGTGTGTATAATATGTGTTATTCGTAGACTGGTTGAAGATTTAATGGAGAAAAGATTTTTTTTAAATATTTTTACCAAGATTTTACACATATGTGGAACTAATTGCAAATTCTTTGCGCGACATTACTATTGTTTTGTGAGAAATTTGGAAATATTATCTAAATAAAAGAGATTTTATTCGCACAACGTGTTAAGATCATTCCTTTTATTTATTGTTCTATTATTACAAATAGTTGAAAAAATCCTTCTAAAAATTTTGTGTTTTAAAGTATTAATGTAGTCCGCAAGCTTAGTTTTAAATTGCAAGTATATTTTTTGTGAAATCTTCTATTATTATATTCAAATACTATATTACCTTTATATAGTATTATAAAAATATATGTTATATATCCTTTTAGAAGCCAAAATTAGTAAATGTATTCACCTAATTACAAAATGTCTAAATGTAATTTATAGGAAATAAACTAATATTGATAGTATTGACCATCCCTGTACTCAAACAATCGAAATAATTATTACCAATTTCGAAACATTAATAATATAAAATTTACATTATAATGTAGTACAAGAATAGATTTTTCTTCTAGAAAAATGCCACTTTTAATTTCTAAATCAATTACTCAAGGTATATCTATAGGCAGATTGTAATTTATATGTAAATGAAAAAATTAAAACATTTTTATGAAAACAAACAAACACTAAAATTATGTTGAAATTGGCTTTGAAAAACTCTGAGTTCAATGTAAATAATGAAGTTGCTTAATCCAGAATATGGAAGAAAATGTTCAAACCACTTGGTAGTGCCAGCACCAATGATGAACTGAAATATTTTCACACCAACATATTATTCAAAATAATATATAATTATTTATATTAAATATAATATACGACTAATAATAAACTATGATAAACATTCATATAACATGTACAAAATATATCTACATTAAACTACAAACTTTTACATTTCAATTTCTGCTGTTAAAGGCTGTTGATTTGTATTCATTGTAATTAAATGAGAACGTTTTCTTATGTTTGTGCTATAAAATTTGTAAATTTGTATACATAAGACACATGCTACAAGAATTACAAGAATTACAAATATATTTTTTATTTCATAAATTCCAGATTCTAGTTTTGCTTCAACTCTTTTGATGGATTCATCCATCACAGGTGAACGATCTTGATACAATTTTTCAGATTGTTTCGATGGATCTCCAGATGCTCCAAAATTTGTCACAGTTGATTTATTGAAGATGGTTGAAGTTACCGTTGGTTTATTAAAGATGGTTGAAGTTATGAAATGAGTTGAGGAAGTATTTTGTGAAAGCATAGTTGGTTTGATCAGTTTTGTAGTCGTTGATAAAGAATTTGGTGTAGTAGACTTCACTGCATCTTCCACAGTTGGAATGATAGTGACATTCCTGGTTGTAGTAGGCACAGTCGTAAATTCCGTGATTCTA